TGTTTGAAGTCTTTAAAACCTACGTAAATAATTGCACAAAAAGAGTACTAATTTTTTCAGAATTTATTTTTAATTTGATTCAAATGTATTAAGACGAGTCTCAATGTTAACACAACACAATTACATATTTCTATCTGTATTTCTTTAAGTTTTTTTTAAGTATTTTATTATCAAATTCGGTTTAGGATATAATGGATAAACTAGTTTTATATGTAGAAATGGATTAGATTTAGAGTTGACGTCTTATATGTTACATGCATTAAGTTTTTTTTTTAACTTCAGTCTGGGTTATCTCAACACAATTCGTTACTGTTTACATATTTCTTATGTTGTTCTATTATTTTTGTTGAGCATTTTTTATATAAAATGTTGATTTATTGCATAACAAATAAACTAGATTTACATATGATAATACATAAGTTCTAGGATTAAGCTTTTAATTTAATTATACTTAGTGCGGGAAAAACATTATCCTGGACTGTTTTAAAACCGAATAAATAACTGCACACAAAAGATCATGTATATATAAAAAATATTATTTTTGTTCGTAATTTATAGATCAATTAAAATTTAGATATATTCAAATTGTGAATCCGGACTAACAGAAACCGAACTATTCGAGGTAATGTGACTTTGTTAATACGAATCTGGATTAAATCAATACAATGCGTTGCTTTTAACGTATTTCTCATGTGATTTTCTGACTTTTGTTGAGTTGTGTTGTTTTTTTTTTTATATAAAAATTGGTTGACGACATAACAAATAAACTTAGATTTACATGCGATGAAGGATAAGATCCAGGCTTAACTTTTATATAAATTGTATTGTGAGTTCTCCAACAAAGATTGAGTGATGCTGAAAGGATAGTTGCTACTGGTTTTCTAACCGCCCATGGGTGAGCACAGACTCGAAACCCGTCCGCGCTCATTCATTATATTTCATGTATATATATATATATGCTGGCGTATTGAATTATCGTTGCCGATCCCATTTTCCATTATAAATAAGTAATGTTTATATTGGTAGATGTTGGAATTGTGAGCGATGAATCTATTTGTTGATTCGCGCAATAAATTCGTTTCGGTTATTTTGCTAACGCTCACTGTTTACATTTTGGGGCGAAACGTGAAAATGCCAGATAATCTGGTGTATTTTACGTTCAGACAAGTTAATGTCGTTTAGAACGTGTGGCTCATCTAACTGGTCTTAATATCTTCTTTCTCTTCGTCCACCCCCTCGCCCTTCTTCATATCATCAGCGTCATGTTCGTTCGAGGCCGATGACTGAGGTTCTTACATTGAAGCATCTGCTTGTTGCTTCACTCTCCTCTCCATCTCGCTCGACGCACGACTGCCTCAATAATTTGTGCTCTCATTGTTTGTAAGCGCGAAGATGAGATTTTTCTTTTTTTTGTTGTAAACGAATATGGCCAACATGTGATATCATCTCGCCGTAAATACACAGCAGACCCGAAGTAAAATAATGCCATATGAACATAAACAAATGTTACTACTGGCTGGATATGAAGAAGTAAGAAAGAGAAGCGTTTGGTGTCTGAGACACGTATCTAAATTATTACGGCGGGGATTTTAAATTAGCGCTTTTACCGTCCTTTGTCACTCCGTGTGTCTCTAATGTTCTGCATAAAGATAATAACGGTGCACAGTATTCCTGAAATAGAATTGCCGAGTCGTTTGAAAAACGGCTCGAGACTCAGAAACGACATTTGCTATATCCATCTTTGGCGACTGCACTAGCTTGACCTGAATGTCAAAGCTGCGCTTGTCCGAGCCAGCTCGCTCGCTCGCCACTGCACACGCATATATACTTTTCATTCATCCATTCATAAATATCAATCTAACTCCCAAGTACTCTTTTTCATAAATTTGTAATACCGTTGTAAAAACCTGTTTTTTCATTTGAAATATTGATTATTGTATATATTGTATATTAATTAGTTAATTAATTAAAAACGTTTACATTTTTACTTCAAATCGCTCCGACTAAGACACTTTGAACTTGACGTAACCAATGCACAAATAAAGTATTAAAATTATTATTTAAAGCTATGAAAACGATAAAAATCAAGTTCAAGTCAGTGAGAAAGTATTTTCTATTTCAAGAAATTTTGTATCAGGAATAAAATTAAATATTCATTGCTTTTGTATAAAGTATATTTATTTTACAATTTATGCTACAGTATTTGCAGTTATAGTAATGCTTAATTATATATTAATTTCTTACGACAATTAGTTAATTGTTAATTATATAAAATGTTCTCTACATAAACAATTATAATATGCAAATATAAATTATCTTGCTTATAATAATTAATTATATAATCATTTAAAATTCAATAAAATTAGTAAAATTAAGTAATTTAAGTTAATTTTGAAGTTGTGGATAACACGTATAATAACATTGATATTAATTACAGAAATCTAATTACAGAAATGCGTATTGTAATTTGAAACAATTAGTTGAACTAAAATATTTAGTAACTGAATCTAGTTCTATTAGCAGTATAATTCAGTATTCTATACAATATTTAGGTAATAAGTAGAATGCTTTACGTTTGTACATTATTGAGTTATTTTTGAGGCAAAGAAATCTGTTTTTTAAAATTATTTTTAACTTATAATTTTTCAATTCACGGTATCTTAACTTATGGATAGTGTAGGTTATCATAACCATATAGAAAAAAATGCGTCTATTATCTCTGTTTGTTACGTTTACTAATTACATCTATTTTTATATCATAACCTTATCAAAGTTAAAAAATATGTAGTTAAAAATATCGTAGATATTAGTTGACTAAATGCCATATAAACTTATCATATTCAAGCCAATTCAAGGATTTTTTTTTGCCAAGAAACAAAAATAATTGAAAATATATATTGTGAGCTTATTATGTGAAAAGAAAATAAATAATTCTATAAATATTTATTTTAGTGAGCAATTTTAATACAAGCGAAAAGATGATTAATTATGAATTTATGAATCATAGTTACATTTAACTTTAATGTCTGCGAAGTGTTTGCATTCTTTTTGACAGAAAATATCGTAATCATACGTATTAGTTTTCGTGATTTCGTAACGCAAGTCGAATTTTATATAACAAAGAATAAATTATTGTTATTGCATATTAATTTGAATATATATATTTGTAATTTTGAGAATTTCTTTATGTTTTTCGTTATAATTGTATTTATTTAACGTTGGAATGGTTCTGATAATATAATAAAAGTGGCGGGAATCGTTTACGGTATTTTGTTATCAATGAGTGGTGTTCGAAGAAAAGAAACTTATGAATGAAATGTAGTAACGGAAATAATAAACATCTATGAATAAAATTGCAGGGTGTTGTTTTCGGTGTGTATGCTTTTTTTGTTTAAATAACATATCGAATGACCGATGCAAATAGGCCGTTAATAGCGATAAGTAGTCGGTGTGTTTGTTCTTTCTTATGGAATGGAATGGATAGGTCAATGCTGCCTGCGTGTTCGGATTTTAACGTTCTCGAATGGAAATGTGCTGAGGAGCATAATCAGATTTATTTTGCCTAGCCTTCTTCTCTTCCTCTTCCTAGCCGGTGCACAGTTTCAATAGTATTATTATTGTGATCCATTGCGCTTTCTTCAATGAGCTGAGAGCGTTCGTCGTCGGCCTTGCACACTCTGTGCGAGACGTGAATGAGTGTTGTTCCGCTGTTCGGCACGACCCGCGCCGTTGCGTAACAGCAGACAGACGAACAGACTTTCCATTCAGATCAATCCGTTTGCTCTCCGCTAATGTTGTTAAATACACTCTGACACTCACTACTAAGCATACACACTCATATAGATACATTACACACATACACACCTTCTATAGATTATATTTGTTTTGCTCTTTCGCACGATTGCATACTTTCACAAACTAAGCGGTATTAAAGTATCAAAATTATAAACACTTATACATAAATATGATATACATTTATAAGAATATAAATAATAACTTTGATCATCGACTACTGGAGTGCCATAATGAATAGCAAGCTAGCAAAGGGCGCATCGGAAAGCTTAATTTTTTATTTTTAGTTTGAATCGAGTACAATCAACATTCTATTGAGTAAATAGTAATAGTCAATAAAAAAGACGTAAGTTCTATAAATAAGTGGTCTTCAATGTTTGTAGATACAAGAAACCCTTAACATTATATTTTTTGTAAAAGTGGTTAAAAGAAATTGTTTGTATGTACTTAATGGTAAAAATGTTCAATTTAATAAAAAATAACGAAATCTTCAATGTTTGTAAATACAAAAATCCCTTAAGATTATAATTTTTGTAAAAGTAGTTAAAATAAATCATTGAAAATGTAATCAACATTATAATTTATGGTAAATTTGATAAATTCAATAACAATTACGTAAGTGGTCTTCAATGTTTGAAAGAAATTATAATTTTTTGTTAAAATTGTAAAAAAAAATAATAATTAATGAATGTTAAATTTTGACTTTAATCATTTTTAAAATGTAATTTAAAAAAATATATCTGTGATTCAATTAATTACATTATCGATATGTTATCATTTTATTTATAAACTTGTTTTGGTCGTAATTTGATTTTCATGGATCGTTCATGAATTTGGAGATTTAATATTAAATACACCTGTTATTAATAATTCTTATTACATGCACATGTTTTACATCATACAATTTGGGTATGAAGATAGAAATTGTCGATTGTCCAATTGTTAAGGATCTTTTCATAATTTATTTTCGTCATAAATTATGAAAATTATGAAAAGATGTACACGTAATTACACTTCTAGACAAGGTACTTACAGACTAGTCTACAGACTAGACCAGTGATTCTTAACCTTTTTTTTTGTCGCGGCATACTTTAAGAATTTGGCGGCACAGTGAATGAGAGTCACTGGACATTGACCATAATGTTTTAGTTTTGTATTGCAAAAAGAAATACGTATTTTGAATATGTTGTTTATTTTGTGCGTTTCAGTGCGAAGAACCAGAGCAGGTCGCAATGGCTGTTCTCAAACAAGAGATTTGCGACGATAACGAAGAAGCATTGGTGCCTACGCCTAGGTCCTTGGGGTCCGTCCAGAAGGTGCCATCAATAAGCGATTTGTCCGATCCCGAAGCGTCATTAGGTAAGTCGTTGATTAATAATTATTTGCCCATAATTTGCTTAATTCATTGCACACATTAACACTAATTAAAATATGATATTAATTATATTCTTACAATGTAATAATATCGTAAATCCTGATATATTGTAATTTCTATTGCTTAATCTATTTTTAATTGAACGAATCAAACAGTTGCGTGTTACGACCTAATTGTAACTTATAATATCGTGTTGTGTGTGAAAGCCGCAAATTAGATTGTATCTACGCGCGGAGGGTTAAAATGAAGTGTTAAAGTATTCACCCTAAACGCATGTAAATTGAATTGATCGCGTTCACATAATTCGAAAGGGTGATGTTTTTTCTATTTCTATTTCTTTTGTAATATGTATCGCGTCCAGATTATTATATGGTGATACATCAAATGGCAATTGGCTGTTAACAAGGCTAACGATACATTGTAATTAAGCTGTGCTGGTTTGGCGCAAAGTTTTTTTTTTCTAGAGCAAACGCGGTGGGGTTAAGAGGGGGACATTGTCATGAATTAATGAGGATGTTACAGTTTATTCCATTTAGTTCCCATATGTATTAGGCATTATATACATCTTTCGTTAATGCGTTTTAAAATTATATACATATATATGTGTGACCGTAATTAATTGGTACATAAATTTACATAATTATGATCAAATAATTTTCGCTGTCGATTAATCACAATTATAAATTATTTCGTCTGCCTTGAAAACTGTCCGAGTTTTCAAGCGAGATTGCGTAATCTGCTTCTGACAAAAGCGACTTATCTGAAGGAAAATTTTTGTTGTTCTTTTTTTTTCATGAAAAGTGAAGATAGATACTGTGACATTGTGATTATTGCATAGCATCCTGGATTCCAGTTATTATTTTACTACCTACTCGATTATTAGCTACTGCAATAGCTTTTTTGTTTTTTCTTTCAAATTATTCTTTTTTTTTGCCAAGATGATTCTCATCTGTCCGAACAGGATATTAAAACCAGTTTGCTTCCTCTCTCCATCATATCAATTTCGATTTTATATATGCAACACTGCTTAGATGGCATAAATGAAAGTAAATTACAACACTTTTATTGTTTCATATTATCAGGGGCGGACCGTTAACTTCGTGGGCCCTAACAACTTTCGTGGGTCCTGTGCTAACGCTATTTGAGTGTCTTGGATTAACAATCTCTCTCGACTAATAAAGTTTATGGGTCCCTAAATTAATGGGTTAGTTTGATTAAATGGGGCAGTTCATGTTTAAATCGAACATGTAATAATTAAAACACTGAATATTTTTTGTTTTAATGAATTCAATGAAACAAACTTTATCATTTATCATTTCGTAGTGGAATTATTTGCAAAATGTTACTGATTTTAGTGATAAGATAACGTAACAGAGTGACGTAGGTAAACTATCTATAAATTGTAATTAATCGTTACGTCAGTAAATTGATTTGAATTAAGTATTGACATATTTTCAATTGTATTGTGTAATGCATCTAATCAAATGCTATGATTAGAATTGATGCAACTATTGTATTTCATATATGCCTCCAATAGCAATTTTTAGCAATTATTATAAGTTTATGTAAGAGATAGCTTTAGTGAATATTGTATACACCTGTACGAGCACCTGTGACTATGAAGTTGCATACTCTACCAATAATCTTGAATTCTTTTTCGTTCAAATTCATGTTAGTACATCACAAAATCCAATACGAAGGATTTTTGGCATCGAAATAATAATATTTTTTCTTAGAAATAATCTACAAGCTTAGATTACATCAATATTTTTGAATTAGAAAAAATGTGATATGTTTTAATATGATTGATAATGCATTAATATTTCAATGAATATATATAAAAAAATATTGTAATCATAAGATAACTTGTTTTAGATTCGCGGAAACAATTATGCAATTCAATTGAAGTTGCTTTCATTCATTGATTGATATTTATTAATAAATTCATTATATGTTCGTATTTTTAATAGATCATTTATAAATTATGAATCACAATTTTAATAATTGCAGTTTTGTGAGTTTTTTTATTATTCAAAATTGTATTAATAATGTTATGTTATTATATTAGTATAACCTTAGGGTTTTTCTTCCTACCCCCTTCTTCATTTGGCTTCCGCATTACGCGGACAAAAGCACAAAAACCAAAATAACACTTATTCTTCGGATTTCTTCTTCCGTCCAAATAATTAAAGTAACCAGCTTTTTCCAATAAAACCGTAACTTTCTTTTTCAGCCCAAATAATCAAAATAAAAAACTACTTCTAAGGAAACTAAAAATATAACAACCTAAGGGTTAAATGAGCTATAGCCCCGGGGCGCCAGTCTTTTGGGGCGGCAATTGTATTTTCTTATGAAAAGGGGCGCATAATTCTTAGTAGACCATGAGCGCCCCCAATACACGGGAATTTTCTTATGAAGAAGGACGTATTCTTAGTACTCCTCAGACTTCAAATATCTTACGGCGACCCTGAGTATTAAAAAATTATAATCATTATAATTGCAAGAAAATTCTGTTATTATTGAAACGTAATTGTAAATGATTACATTTCATGATAATTAGAAACATTTGATGACAATGAAAAGTTTGATCTGTAATTATTTATAAATGACTCAATAAGAATATAAGAAATAATTGATGTAAATATATTGTAGAGCAAACTGCTTCTGCTTCTCCGTAAAGCTATCAACTTTTCATATGAAGGTAATTGGCCGAGTCAAGATTCTTAATATAAATCGGTTTCAATTTTTAATTGAAAAATTTAATGATGAGCAATAACTTGACCGTGTCTGAGCATATTTCACATCCCGATCGATTTTTTAAAACAATAAATTGCGCGTGCAAATAAACAGTCTCTTCATCTCGCTCTACTGGCTCACCATGAAGAAGGATGCGAGAGAAAATTATTCTCTATATACATATATAAAAGTATATGTCTATGAAATTATCGATCTTACACACCTGCTCTTTCAAACTAGTTTTTGCTGCATGAAATCTGCAGTTACACATTTGTTGCTGAATTTTCCATCCAACATTTCGAATCTATCTTACTCTGATGGTAGGTAGACCGAACTCTGCAATCTACTAAATATGCAGTAATAATAATTTAAAGCGCTCGTTACGCCGATCTGAACACACGATCATCTGCTGCAATTAGGTGGAATTTTAATGGAAAACGTATTTAATCTGACTAGATATTTCAAACATTTTTTTTTTCGCCGTCATTTAATTGTGGTTTGGCTCTGAATATTGAGGAAACATTTGAAACAACAAAAGGAGCGCGATTTATGTGAGCAATTAAAGTAATAACCGGTCGTGCATTATCTTCGGTTCCAATATTAAATTGCATTAAAAAAAACATTGTAGACCGATTTATTAATACAATTAATCTAAGAGACATATTCAGATAAAGTCTGTTCATTAACCTCGCATCTTATAGGCAACTTAAGAGTCTTGGATTCTGGCGCCATCTCTTTTTCAGGTTGCTAAGGTTGTCTGGCAAGTTACGCCATTGGTGACTTAAGTGCGTACTTTACAAGTGCTGCCATCTGGATTGGTCGTGTTATGAGCTTTGATTTGAAATGAAGGTTGAAAGAAGGAAGATTTATTATATATAATAAATAGTGTTGCTTGTTTGAAGATGGACTTGGTTTTGTATAACGTAATGATAAATTGGCGCAATAATATAGAATAGAATAGAAATTGCGGTGCGGGGTTGTTTTTGTTTGATAATAACAATAATAATGTATATTGAGGAGCGCGCAACAAGATGTTAAATTAGCTGACCGAGAAATCCGAACGTAAAAACAAATGAGCAACTAAACATCACGACCTTCGGTTGTTACATGTGAAAGAAAAAACAATACCAGCTCTTGATTCAGCGCCACCTGCTCCATTATCCTGACTGGTTTTCCATCAACATGCACTTACCTTTCGGACTCGATGCGGTCTGCACGCGATGGAAAGAGATAGCCTTCTGTGAACGGGGAAATCTATTAAAATAGTCTAGCAATAGAAGCTGGAGCTGCTGAGCTGAGCTGAGCGCGGACTGGATGGATGGATTTAAAAGAGCCTTTGGCTAAGTTTTTATAGCCGGTCGTTGGCCTTTATTTCAGCCCCATGGCTATTTATGCTAAACAGATCTCTGTAACATTATCTTCGTATGTAACGTGTTATCTTTGCATTATTTTAATTATGGTATGGAATAATTGTTGTTTATTTTCATGACTGCGCTTACGCAAACTCGAAACGGTCGAGCTGTAATTTTCTATCTTTGCCAAGCATCTCTACAATAAGAAAAAGAGTCATTTCAACAGAATCACAATGAAACCGAAAAGAACATCGAGACTCTGAATCTACTCATGGAAGGAACGAGTGAACGGGAAAAAATTGCAAAAGGAGACCGAACAACGTGATACGGAAAAATTGGCGCCAATTACAAACACATCCGTTCATTGTTAGGGCACCTTTTTTTTACGGCAATTACCCGATTTGACATCCCTACCAATCGATGATCTCAAGCTTGAGCAGTTACCAAGAAAATCTACTCATTACAAAAAATAAATCTTAAGACATGAACTTGTAACACTTTTTGTATCCACATTAAATTAACACAATAAGTATGCATAAACTTACTATTTTTATGGGATTTTACTATACTATTTATATACAATATTTCATTAAAAGGAATTAAGGAATTTTATTCTAAGGGTCGTAGTAAGTCTAAGGGTTTTAGAAACTCTGTTGTAGAATTTAAGTGAATTAATCGTTAAATTATTTAGATGTAAAATTATACTAAGAAATAATTGTTTTTATTGTATCATTTTGATCGTATTAAAATCGGTTTCGTGGAGAATATTTCTTTTAATTAAGAAAATATTTTTTCCTTTTAAATAATTAAAAAGTGCTTATCTATGAAATTTTTATGCTATATATCATAGCTCCTTGATTTTATAATAAATCTAGGATTTAATTGCTGAGTTATGT